CTGAAAGGAGAGAGATTCTGACTATATGTAAGGGAGAGCCTTTACCCCATGAGGATGGTCAAGCATTGGAACAAGTTGTCACCGAAGTTAATAGGTCTCCATTCTTGGTGGTTTTCAGGATTAGACTGGATAAAGACCTGGACAAGATGGTCAGATCTCCCAGCTCCTCATGCTGAGCACAAGGCTTGGACTAGGGATCTTAAATAATTCTGTGATTTTTTTTTTTGATAATTGCTTTTGTTTCTTCTTCTGTTGACAGCCTTGTTATCCATTCAGATGATTCCTGGTGTAAGTTTTAATCTTACATTTAATCTGACTAATCCTGTGATGCCAGTTCCATTGGGTTCTTAGAAAACATGCGTAAGAGGAGCTCTTTTCTTTGCAAGTCTTAGTGGCAATAGAAAAGAGATTAAAAATAGGGAGCTAAACATTCTTTTCTTCATTCTGAGCCACCAAAAGCATAGACATAAATTTAAGTAGTATCCCTGAATGTGGTGGTAACTACATGACCAACTGGAACTGAAGCAACCGATTTTTTGTTTGTTTGTCTTTATTTGCTTATGTTAATAGGAAAGGGTGCAGTGTCTGGTAGCCTAGATCATGTTTGCCATGGAGTAGCATGAACCCTTGGAACAAGGCAGCCAACCTAAAAAGCACTGGTGCTCTCTTGTTATACCGAGTATCAAATTTTCCAGAAAACAGCCTGTCTGTTTGACATTTCTCTAAAATTGAATTCATCCATGAGGATTTTTGAATTCATCCATGATGCCATGCTGTGTGGAATCGGCATTAATATCCCATGAATGTGCTTCAGAAATGTTTAGATTACTTATAGAAGTAGTTTAACCATACTGAGTAACTGGATAATAGAAGGCAAATATTTTCTTGTCTTGATTAGTATGTTAAAATGTGTTTGTTTGAGGTTTTTGTTTTAAATTCTGTGCTTTCTTTATTGATGTTCTCAGATGGTCAACTTCACAGATGAGAAAGTCTTAGCTTATTTGCTGGTGATGATTAGTTTTGATTCTTTGAAAGCTTTCTTTGTGTGGTGATCACTGTGTTTGTGTGTTTATATGTGTGTGTGGAAATCACTGGGAGTCCGCCTTAGTATCCTTTATCAATTTACTATGCTATTGCTCATACCTAAATGCTAGCTTTAGTAGACACTAAAACTTCAGTTGATGTTTCAGAAAATGTAGGAATTTTAGTATGCAAGTCTCCCGTGCCTTTTTTTTTTTTTTTAAAGGTCTTTTTAAATTAAATTGATAGCAGCTAAGCTGATATACACTCAAGTGAGACAGAGCCAAGTATGAGATGTGAGAAGTTGCAATGCGTGGTGGTCAGGATAAGATGCTTGAGGATATGTTGGCGTGTATGATGTGACAAAGGGATCCAATCCAAAGGGACTGGAAAACTTGTCCTAGGCCTCATTAAGGGAATGTTCACTCAGGATGGAGTAGTTGAGCCTAGTTCTGTGGCACCAGCATGGACCTGTAAGAGCTGCTGGCAGCTGCTGCCCTTCTGCAGCAATAGGGGCTTCAACTTGAACCCTCACTGTCAGGTGGGATTCGAGGTGGGCAGAAATTGTCTAATTTAAGCAGGTTCTGAGGTATTTAAAAAGTAATGTGAGTTGGGGTATTCTGCTCCATGGGAAGCTCAGTGTGGCTGCTGTGCTTCTGGAAAGAAACTGTTAATCAAGTGGGTCAGGATGTTCAGAAGTGGAGGCTTTGAGGCCGGTTTGAAGTAAAATAGGGGAAAAAAAATGACTAAATGAGGCTGTCTCCTCTTCCGTGGTAAACAAATGTTAATTATCAAATGTATACGAATATGCATTGGTAACTTTTAGATGTTTCCACAAGGGTAGGTGATGTTACATCTTTTGAGCTTATTGATAACATTCTTTTACACTGTTTTAATATATCCCTGTATATCCCTTGCCTCTGTAGCCAAACTTAGAACAAGCTATGAATAAAGCTGAGCTTGAAAGCTCTGACGTGTTATCCTCATGTTTGAAAACATCAAAACTCCTGCATTCTTCCTGGCTGCGGATAGATGCTCAGGGGATAATTAAAGCCTTTTATATTACCTTTTATAGTAGTCTGGTAAATGTGTGTCAATATGATTTGACATGGATTGTATCTGGTTGAAAGGGCCTGGGCTTGGCGGCAGAGATCTCTCCTATCTAGCTACGTGCGAGCTGAAATCAGGTTTTATGAGTTTAGTTACTTTTTTCTTTTCCTCTCATGTGGTCAATATCATAGAGGGGATGGTATTGAGGAACACAGATTGTAAAGAGGTGGTCTTGAGGGTAAAAGACAAATCCTAGTCTGCAGTACACCAAGAGTATAGGGAGAGGGGAGAACGACACAGGGAAGATAGTATATTGACATAATATCAGCATCTTGGAGCTCCTAACTTTCAATCTCTGATAGTTTTGGTATGTTTTGTAGATCTCTCTTGAAGCTTGGAGGTGGCAAGAGCCTATTATGAAAGTAGTTTGTTGCACATTCCTGTTCTGTATCGATTGTAGGTGAAACTCAAGGGCTGCTATGTATCCCATGGGATTATTTTGTATGTTCTTGAAGCCTGATGTGCTTTCCCAATGCAAGTGTAGGATCCAAGGAGTTTTGTGGTTCTGTAGTGTGTTAAGTCTTTTTTACAGCTGGGGAGATGTGCTTGCAATATGTAATCCCATTGCTCAGGCAGAGATCTGTTTCACACCAGCATGGCTTCCAATAAGTCTTTTGAGATTTAGCATGAAGGCTTTTTGAATACTATGAAGTGGGTTTAGAGAGATTTTCTTACCAGATAAATCTTTTAATACAGGCTGAAGTTATTTATTTCCTTGTCTGTTCCACATTAGGCTGGTATGTGGCAAAAATGGATATGCAATTCATATAACTTTGCTCTTGTAGAGAAATGAATTCAAGTTCTTTGTATTTTTGCTTGTGTGTTTTGTTTTTTTTGTTTTATCCAGTCGCACTTCGGTGGATTTTTTTTTTTTTTTTTTAATTTGTGATCTGTTTTCATAGAAGAGTTGACGCTGTTGGATAAAAGTTACTCATGTAATGCAAGTATTTATGGGATAGATGTGACAAATGTTATTACGGACTATGCATTATAAGCTTTCAGGAGCAGTTAAAATATTAGATAACAGTCTGACTTTTTAGTTTATTCTAGCATATTGAATTATTTAGTTTTGATGCTGACCATGGTGCCTAAATGTTAGATATAAAAATGTTTTGAAAATGTTATTCACAAGTTCATTTTTGACCTGTCTGTCTTCATGCCTGGACAAAATAAAATTCCAAGGTGAATTTGAGAATGAGCCTTCAGCTATCACCAGCTGGGTGTCAAAAACTGTGGAGTTGCAGCCTGGTTTTGTGGGATGGCATTATCACCAAATCTATTCCTGCAGAGCTTTTCCTCCTTTGCCAGTAACAAAACATCTTTTTCTCAGAACAGATAACCATATTGTCACACAACTGTGTGAGTAATTGGCATCCAAAGGAACACAGAATAGCTTGTCATGTCCTTTGTCCTGAAAACATAATTTCATGTCTTAGATACTTTTTAGCCCTGCAGTGTAACACAGACTTTGGTATTGCAAAAGGAATTTAGGGACTGCTAGATCTTGACTTTCATCCAGAATAATCTAGCTTTCTTGAAATAAACTCAGACCTTAAAATTGAATGCAATGTTGTTGTTTTAAAAAATAAAAATTGTGGTTTGACTTCAGCACAATTCTTCAGCTTGGAGATAGATCAGGATAGGAAAAAATTAATTGGTTTTTGAAGAGTTCTGTGGGAATGTAGAGCTGCTGTCTCTACTGATCTTGCATGATAATTTCTAGGTCTGGATCTGTCTAGACTAGTGCACATGCCATGTGTTTAATTAGCAAAAATAGTAGAGACTGATTTTTTTCAGAACAGTTTGATGCCTCTGAGCTCCCAGTATCTTCACTGGGAACTGCAGATGCTCAGGACAGTGAAAAATGAGGATTTGTGTCTTTAAATTCCTATAGCTTCAAGAATGTGTGTCAAGTGGGTCCTTAGCAGCAGGATAAATGAGTGAAGCTGATCTTGGGCTAAGGGGAACAAAAGGATCTCAGGCTGTTGGTCGACAGGTGGCTGAACATGAGCCAACAGTGAGCCCAGGTGGCCAACGCGGCCAACGGCCTCCTGGCTGTTATCAGGAATGGTGCAGGCAGCAGGAGCAGAGAAGGGATCGTCCCCCTGTGCTCGGTGCTGGTGAGGCCGCCCCTCAAACACTGTGGTTAGTTTTGGGCCCCTCACTACAAGAAGGACATTGAGGTGCTGGAGTGTGTCCAAAGGAGGGCAGCAAAGCTGGAGAAGGGGCTGTAGCACAGACCTTAGGAGGAGCGGCTGAGGGAGCTGGGGTTATGTGGTCTAGGGGAGACCTTATTGCTCCATACACCTGCCTGAAAGGAGGTTGTGGTGAGCAGAGGGTCGGTCTCTTCTCCAGAATAACTAGGGATAGGACAAGAGGAAACAGCCTTTTGTATTTCCTCTTGTGCCAGGGGAAGTTCAGGTTAAACATTAGAAAGAATTTCTACATGGAAAGAGCGGTGAAGCCTTGGAACAGGCTGCCCAGATTAGTGATGGAGTCACTATTCCTGGCAATGTTCAAGAAACTTGTAGATGAGGCACATAAGGACATCGTTTAACAGGCAAGTGTTGAAGGGCTTACGGTTGGACTTAATGATCTTGAAAGCCTTTTCCAACCATAATGATTCCATGATTCTTTTCTACAGGCTAAAAAATTCTAGCCCTTTCAGCCTTTTTTTCAATGAAGGATGCTCTAGTCCCTTAATCATGATGTGGCCCTTCACTGGACTTGTTCCAGAAAATATCTGAGGGATTTACCATATTTCTTCCAAAGATAAGTTCTGGATGAGGCGTCTGCATTTAGCTGTGTTTAATACACAAGTGAAATACTCTGCTTGTTTGTGTATCTATGTTTTTTTTTTTTTTCTCCTCTGCTGATTTTTGTTTGCTTGTTTTACAGTCACTGGCTTTGGGTGAGGATTCAGAATGGGAGACAAGCCTATCTGGGAGCAGATTGGGTCCAGCTTCGTACAACATTATTACCAAATCTTTGATGCAGACAGGACCCAGTTAGGAGCAATATATGTGAGTATCTCTAGCAAGTAAGTTGGAGCTCTATCTCATAATATGCCTTAACTTCCCTATTTTGATGCGAGGATATACTCAAGATGGGCTACTGGGTTTTATCCTCCCTCCAGGATATCAGTCTAGCAATTAATTGCATTTGCTGAACTCTTAATTTCTTCTTTTCCTCTTTCATGTGTCTTCTGTTTAGAGCTTTGCCTACTTTGTCAATAGGCACTCAATCTTAAAAAATAAAATTAAAAAATCACCTTTCTCCTCCACCCCAAGCCACCCTCCCCAACAAAAATGTCTAGAAACTGTGGCTTGTGGAACTGTGTTAGGATCTTGTCACCCTATAATAAACTGTAGAGAAAGCTTCTTACCTGTTGCACCTATTGTATAGCTTAGTCAGGAGGTCAGCATCACAATTGTCTAATTCCAGGTGGGACAGTCCGTTGGAAAACCCTTAGATACATGTTCTGCTGTTCTGGATGTTAGTGGGATATGCAAATGTGTACTTGAGATGTAAAATATACAGCTGCGTAACTCATTCCGTGAGACTTTGTATATTTTTCTCTTTGTGCTTTGCTTTGTGTCCATACTTTTAGATTTGCTCTTGAAAACTTTGATCTGAAGGAAGCAACTCTTTTGCTGATGTAATTCTGGCAGTGAAATTTCATCTACTTGATTTCTAATTGACTTTTCTAAACTGTTTCAATTGCTTTGTGGTTTCTTTCCATCTCCTGTGACAGGTAGTTTCGAAAAACTGGATTCTAAAGGTATATGCAAAGTAAACAAATATTACCCAGATTGCTTTAAGAGTTGCTGAAGTGGGTTGATGAATTTGTTTTTCTTTCCTCAGATTGATGCATCATGCCTTACATGGGAAGGACAACAGTTCCAGGGCAAAGCAGCTATTGTTGAAAAACTCTCTGTAAGTGTGTGATCCTTACTGAGTGCTTTGGGAAACATTTCTCAGAACTGAACATTAGTCACTTAAAAAATGTGAACTAGAAGTTTAGCAGCTTAAAACTCTTGAAAATGGGACATGTGCTTCCAGGTTATGGTCTTCAGGAAATATTACCTGTGATTTAATTCTATGCCTCGTTTAGTTGGAAGTTTGTTTTATGACTCTGCAATTAGATTTGACACTGCAAGATTACTTTCAAAAAGTATGGTCCATACTGCTGATCCCTTGATCTTCATTAGAACAGTGTTCTAATATGGAAGTAGCATAGCACACCTGTCTAGATTTGCATGTGGTAAAGGTCAAATATGTTCTCACTGCCAGGAGCTTTCTGTTTTCTGATACATAAACTGCAAAAAAAATTAATAGTGGAGATCCCAGCTTACTGTAAACACAGAGTTTATCTGCTATTCAAATATGAGCAGAGAGAAGTATTTTTTACTATATAGAGAACATGGAGTTCTCATTCTGTGTTCCTTTAAACATGAAGAAATATATTTTGAGAAAAATCTATGTTAGTGCTCTAAAACGTGGGTATCTATGAGATGTGAGATCAGGAATTTTATTCCCCTCCCAAGATCTGTAGGGGCACTCTTGAGCTCTGCTGATGTGCTGCTCAGAATGTGGTATATCAGGCAAAATAAGGCACCATTCAGACTCCTCATTACTCTGAGAAGAAAATCCTTTGTTTTACTTGCACAGCTCTTGTTCTGGTAAGCCCCACATATTGGGTCACATCCTCTTAATACTGTTGAGAGCATGGAAGTCTTGTGCTTTCATTGTAAGAAGTTTTAGAGAGCAGATGAATGGAAGCTCTTGCGGCACAGCGTAATAGGACTAGGAAAATGGTACTGCTTAATGTATGGGGTGCCATACTGCTTCATGTCTTGATGTTTTAAAAATATGCAACTGTCATGGTCAATGCAGCTGAGTAGTGTTGAGTTGTAACAACTCTGCAGTACTGCCAAAATATTTTAGTTCAAGTGCTGATTTTTTCCTTGATCTTTCTTTTAGAAATAAGCTAAATTATGCAAAGGTTGTACGCTTGCTCATTTTCCTTTTTTTTTCTTTTTTCTTTTTTCATTGTAGAGCCTTCCTTTCCAAAAAATACAACACAGCATCACAGCACAAGACCACCAACCTACACCTGACAGCTGTATACTCAGTATGGTAGTGGGACAGCTTAAGGTAAACTCTTTCCATTACAGGGTAACAAAAAAGGTCTCAACTTTTTTGTGTATAGAGCACTAAATTATCTGATTCCTGAAAGCCTTAAAATATTTTCTTGGGTAAGGAGGGAGTACTGTAAATAAGCTTACATTGAAATATCATTCTTCTGCTGGTTAACTGACAAGAAACCGATCCTCTCAAGATAACTAAGTAAAATTTTCCTGTAAATTGGCAGACATTTCTTCTTGTCAAACAAAACACCATGTCCTTTGCTTTTACACTACTATCATACAGGCTCTGAAGACATTCAATATTTTCCTTAACTTGGATACAGTAACGTTTCAGTGTCCTCAGCTGCATTTAAAAATAGAGAATAAAATTTTGGTATTAATGCAAGTCTTTAGTCAAAACTGGATCAACAATGGGAGTGTTGCCAATGAGATGAAACACTTAGTGCTGCAACAGCTCTTTATGCAGGAGCTATAATATGGTTGCATTGCTTTTTAAGTTGTGAAACTGAAGAGGATAAAGTTAACCAGCCGCCTCCTCTGTTGGGGAAAGGTGACACCTCCAATACATCAAGGCTGCAGACTTGTAAGATAATAGGACTGTTAAGAATAATTTGGCCTGGGATCTTCAAAGTCTTCTGCATGTGAAATCACTTACAGAACTTGTCTACAGTGGGCAGTGTTGGTTTTTAAAGTGTGAAATCATCATAGATCCATCAGTCTTTTCAGGGTTTGGTTCAGCCATGCTGTCACATCTGGACTTTGAAACTATCCAAATTTGAGAGCTATTTTGAGTTTCTTCTAAAATTGTTGCTTAGATTTCCTTTTTCTGTTAACTGCAAGCAGCATTTTCAGGATCAAAGCCTTCGACCTCCCACAGAGTGTTCTGTTAGCTAAGCAAGCCTCAGCCTGAGAGTTTGTATCTGTGTCCTCAAAATGCTTAGCTACTGTTCATCATTTTGGGCTGGGCAGTGGATAAGATCAGTTACCAGAGTGTATTGCATTCACTTTTAAACTTAACAGAGCTTTGGTGCTCAGTAAAGTTGCTCCTGCTTCATAGTTGCAAGTTGGATTTCCAGCTGCCTTGCTGCTTGCTCCTGCCTGCACATCCTCTCTTGAGGAAAGACAGGGCAGATTTGAAGTCGGGTGTGCTCCCCTCATCCCTCTGACTCTTGGGTGCACAGAGAACTCGGTGATGTTAGAAACACATTTTGATTCAATGGCTTGGACCAGATACAGCTACAACACTTATGCACTGTCACTTCTTTTTTAAGGTTACTTGCATAATCATCGAACAGATCACAGCCTGCAACAGTGGTTGTGGTGAATGCTGTGGCAAGAGATGAAGTTCTGCAAAGCTTTGGGGTTTACTCATGCTGTAGTATTGTCACTGGGCTGGTAGATGCAGTCTGGGAGCCTTCCACAAATACCATTGCTTGGAACAATATCTCTTACTGTGTCATTTTTATTCTCCTGTTTCAACTTACTGAGCCATACCTGAGTAATTCAGGGATCACATCATGGTGCATCTAACTCCTTGGAAAGAATATGTTAGATTAAGCAGAATATTTACTTTTGTCATGACCATATATAGCCTGTTCGTGAATTTTTAGTTGGAGAAGCAACTTCCATTCCTTACACATGTGAGGCTTCAGCCTTGGCCTCAGAAAGTGGAGTTTGATGCTTGGGATTGCTGCCTCTCACTGAGGAACTGTCCAGAAGTTCTACACTGAACTTTCTTTCTGCTTCTGTCTTGTGACGCTCATTGTTGCAGCTAGACAAATGAAATAACCAGCTACAGTTTATAATATGATGTATATGGTAACCACTTCTGTTAATACATGAAACTAGTTGTTGCATGCTTTTAAGAAAAAATGATAGAGGTTTGGGGGGCAGGTCTTAAGCCTTTGGCTCGTTGGCACTTTTATAAAAGTATTTAGTTGGGTTAGTTAAATACAGTTCCCAGTGACAAAGGATAGGATGTACATCTGCCTCTATACTGCTTCAATCTATAGCCCAGCATGCTAATCCCTATATGAACTATAAAATTGTCTTTTAGAGTGGATAATTATCCCCATTGAGGGGATTGGACATAGCAGCTTCTTGGAGAAGAGCTTTGAGAGTAAGAGAGCATCTAAACAGGCTGGCTGAAGTCACTAGCAGGGGTCTGACACTGACAGAAACACTAGAGCAATTGTTTCCATTGAAAAGTCAGTTATGAAGAATTCTCCTTAATGAATGTAGGAGTAGTTGAATGTTTTATTTAATCCTTCTGTGGAAGGATAATAAATGTACCTCCTGGTTTGAATTCTCCTCCTCATTTTTTTGCTGCTCTTCATTGCCTGGGTGCTTGCTTGCTTCAAGCAGGAAGAGAAAACACCAGTTTTGGAGCCTCTAGGAGTGAGTTCCCCTTGGTGACACTCCTTGAGAAATACTGCATGACATCCTGAATTGGTAGCGTGCTTCACCTCGTAACATATTTCTCCTCCTGTCACGCTCAGGCAGATGATGACCAGGTTCTAGGCTTCCACCAAACCTTTTTGTTGAAAAGTTTTCAAGGTGCCTGGGTGTGCACCAACGAAGTCTTCAGGCTAGCCCTCCACAACATTTAAGCTCTGCCTGTCCTGTGAGGCCCTCGCTGTCCTGGCTGAGTAAGGAGCGCTCTCCTCTTGCTCTCGTGTCATCTGAGCTTGTAGTGCCTGAGAAGCATGGCTCTCGCTTGCACGTTCCCCCAGAGCAGTGTGCCGGATCCGGGGCACTCTCGGGAGCGTGGATTTTGAAGTGCATGTTGCAACACTAATTGTGAATAACTAATCACGTCGTTTTTCCTAGTCTTAAAAAAAGAAGGAAGAAAACTTGCACCAAAGCCACAGGGTTTTTTTTTCTTTTTTTAATGCATAGTCATCATTGTTTAGAGCTTGTTAAGCGAGGAAAGTTAATTTCTGAAGGTACCTGTTAACTGAAGTAACTGGCTTATCCTTTTAGATAGGATAGCTAAAAGCTTGCAGTTCAGTCAACAGTTGCTACAGGGTGTGTAAGGTCGTGAAAGGTGAATAAAAAGGAGAAAAGGTGAAAAGATACATTTTTCTATTGGAATAATGGAACTAAGCTTGGATCACAAAGAAATATTACATCTTATGCTCTGAAGTGACTCACAGTTCCATGAGTGAGGACTTGCAGTAATTTGGGCCATCCAGTCTGAGGGCCACCAAGTCAGAAGGAATGTAGAGAACTAGTGAAGGCCCCAAAGAGGGGTGCCAAGATAAAGTCGGAAGGAATGTAGAGAACTAGTGAAGGCCCCAAAGAGGGGTGCCAAGATAGCCAGGGCTCTAGAGGGAGCTTGGCATGTTGCATGGGAACCCTAGGAGGGGAGGAAGAAATTCTGGAGGGATTCTGGAGCCTCCATTGTAGGAAGTGTTGAAGACTTTGCTAAACAAAGCTGTGGCTGATGTGATGCCTCTGATGGTCCAAATGTGAGTGGGGGTTGGACTGGAGACCTCTAGGGCTCTTTTCAGTCTGTGATTTTCATCTTTGTTCAGGGATCACATGGCATGAAAAAGAATTTGAACTGCGTATAGGAAGGCTTTTGGGGGAAAAGCCAAGCCTCTTGTGTTTATAACCTGGATGACACCTGGAATGCATGTGTTGAAATGATACAGCTGGATTTGGATCGGAAAATAGACAGTTTTAATGAGGCTTTTTGAAATGTGATGAAGAGCTGAAAGGGTTTGGATCAGTCATTGTCTTGTAAATCATCTCAAGTAACTCTCAAAGGATGCTCTTTGTCAACAGTCGTGCAATTCTGGCTGAATTCTTGGGCATGGTTAATGATGGGCATTATTGTTCCTCTTTGCTGTGAGAACATTACATGAAAGGAGTAAACAAGCTATATGCGACTTTACTGTGTGAACTGGCCATATGTAGAGCAGCAAAAGGAAAAAAATCCCTTTCTTTCAATGTCTTCCATGCACTCAATCCTGAATTGCATAGGAAAGAAGAAATTCCCCTCCAGCTTAATCACTGATGACTACAACTAGTCTTAATGCAAATTGAGGAAACCTACCTCCAAACTAGTATGATGATGATCTTAGCAATGAGCAAGCTTAAACTTAGTGGGGAAAACTGTTTACATGACTTGTGGTAGATCCTTCAAAGGCCTAAGAGGAGGAGGCCAGAAAGCAAGTGCAAGTATTTTAAGTGCTTATTAATAGTTGTGATTCGAGTTGAACACATTCTGCCTGGCTGTAGTCTGAGCATAGTCCAAGCCATTAGAAAGGAGCTGGCATGAATATAAATTCATTTAGACTTGGTCAAAAGAGTTAACTTTCAGATTCCTTTACAAAGACATGTCAAACTGAGATGCACAGCTCTCCTATATTCTTCAGTTTTGTTAAAAATCCCTTCAAAATTCTTTCCATCCATCATTAACTTACCCACTACCAACTATCCAGCAGTAGTGGGACCTTATTACTACCTGTGTTTTTCAGTGCACCTTTCTTTTTTTTGTTAAGCTGAAAGTATCTCCTGTGAAATACCTGGTATGTCTGCTGACATGTGTACTAATGAAGGAGGTGGGTAGCTGGGCTAAGTTGCTTGTCCTGGGTTCTTGAGCAACTGTGGAAGCAACTTGAAACATTGGGCTAGCTGCTATGGAAGCTCTGCTTAATGCAAAAGAATGACTTTATCAAAGTGACAATATGCTACCAAGTACCTTTTGAACACTGACTGTGTTAGCACTTGCCTTGCTTCAGAGATTTCTTTTTTCCATGGATTTATCTACTCAGTAATTGTATTTCTGGCCTTATTTGGTGCTGCCTTTTGTTTTGGCTGTAGGAAAGACTTTTCCTTATTTTGTGTCCTTCTTATTTTGTAGTTCTTTGGTTACATATTACCCTTTCTCTCCACCCAGTCAGGTGTGGGTGGGGTTTTTTTGTTTGCTTGTTTATCAATAGGAAACTCTGGATCATATTTTTTGCCCTTCTCTGGCCATTCCTTACTTTACTGTTTTATAAGTGATTTAAAAAAAATGCATGCAGAGTTTGACATGTGGGTGCTCTGTGCATTTATGTGATTGCACAATTATGCGTTTCTGTCCTGTTCCAGGCCTAATAACTGCTAACCCTTTGTTTGCCTTGATAGCTACTGAGCTCTGAGACGATGTTTCAAAAAAAAAAAAAATCCATAATGCTTTCAGTCATTAGCTAATCTTCTTCGGGCCCTTTCTGATTTTCCTCTGTAGATTATCCTACACCTGGTGCATTTCATCTACCATTCCATTTTCTAAGCAGTTATCACTACGAAATCCTTGCAGTCAATTTTAGGTTTGAATGCTCCTTTTATGCTTTAGTTATGCACTTGATTCTACCAGTGTAGACTTCCCATTTCTGATGTAACTTACGTCCTTAACCAGTTGCTGCTCCTTGGTTTCATAGTTCATTCATCATTTGGGTTCTACTCCTATGTAGAGGATGTCTTGTTTGCTTGTAGCAGTCTCCTTTGCTCTTTAGTCTTGTCTTTTTCATCTGATTTTCTTGGTGGACTGCAGAGACCTCAAATCAACTCAAATTCAGATCAACTCAAAAGGCTAGGCTGTTCATTCAACATTTTAAGTTTTATGCATTCATCTGGCTGTTACTTTCTAATGCCTTTTTCCCCACTTTTTTTCTGAAGTTTAGTAGTTGTGTGCTGAAAGATTAAAACTTGAACTCTGAAAAAAAATGCTGAGCAGAGTTTGTTAGAGTGTCAGAAGGTCCTTTTTTGTGTACTGTTCAGAGTTAAATCCTATTATGTGATCTCCAGCTCACTTGAGAATTGATCATTTACATTATTTTAAGGCATTAACCCTTGCATGATGTCACTGAGGAGACTGGTAAATGTTACATAGGAGCACTAGTCTCTTTAAGACTGTTTTTTACTTTGGGAGTCCCTAACATCTGTAAAACATAGGCACTGTAATAACCCACACCCCAAACTTACATAGCTGAATTGTCAAAGGCAGAAGTTGAGGCACCACTACAAAGATTCACTGCACTAGAACATCCTAGCAGAGCTACAGCAACTGCTCAATTCACATTGAGAAAAAGGGCAACCCCCTGGCTGGCCAGTTGTACCTGCTCTGAGAAAGACTTCCAAGGCCTCCATCGCTGCTGAGCTCGTTCAGGTAACGTTATTGATACCGACTCCTGCAGAAACTCCCTTCTGTGACACATCCAAACTCCAGCAATTACCGAATAATTTTGAAACACAATCAGAATTATTTTGCACATAATTTCTAGGCTATGACAAGAGAGACCTGTCACTCAGCACAATGAGGCAGGCATGTACTTATCAGTGATGGAAGGAGACCAGCAGTCTTCCTGAAAATCCCAACAAACTCCAACAGATGCAGGTTCTGTTGCCGGATTTCTGTACTGTTAAGCTTTAAGTGTTTGTCTGCCAAGCAACTCAGAATGGAGCCTCTGGTTGTATTAGTGTTTCTTGAAGTGCTAGACATGCATATGACATTAATGTTGCTTTGAGAGTTGGAATGATTTTTCAGCTTTAGAAAAGCTTTAAAAAACCTTTCTTCTTCCCCTCCTCTCTCTCTACAGGCTGATGAAGATCCTATCATGGGATTCCACCAGATTTTTCTATTAAAGAACATCAACGATGCCTGGGTTTGCACCAATGACATGTTCAGGCTAGCATTGCACAACTTTGGCTGAGCTGGCAACCTCGAGGCACCCATGCTTTTTTTTTTTCTTTTTTTTTTCTTTTTTTCTCCTCCCTTTTTTTTTTCCTCCCCTCCTCTTACTGATATTATTCACAGAACATTCCAAATATCATACACAAACCTGCAGCACTGCAGAGCGTGAGCAAGACCTGTGACCTGCCTTTCTGCTGAGTTTACATTGTCACTAGACGAGTTCCTTGTGCATGATGTTTGGAAGTTACTTAGCTGCATTTGACGAGAGAAATTTGTGTTGTACCAGCATGCCTCGAAAAGAATTTATAATGCAAAAGGTTGCTGTTTATGTACTGACAAGATGCTCTATAACCCAAAGAAATGAAAGAAGAGCAGCCTGTATGGCCCAGATATTGATTTGTTCAGATGTTTTGATGCTACATTACACAATAAAACCATGAGATTTTCTTAACAGTTTAAATGTTTTTATCAGTTGGATATTGAGTGTATGTTACTACTAGAATTAGTTTGGATACCCTGTGTCTGCCTGGGAAATCTTTACAAACCCAAACCGCCGTGGTGAGGAATACCTGAGACTTTTACCAGTGAAGGCTCCATGTCCTTGTGTGTGCACCCGCTTTCTCCAGGCTTCTCAGCAACTACTCTAGGGGTGGCTTCTGGCTCAGGTTTTACCATGCTGCTTGACCAGTGACATCTTGGCTGGTGTTAGGCTTTTGACTGTCAAAATAGAAAAGAACACACAGAGCTGACAGTCATGGCAGCCCGAATTTCATTTTCATGATATTTTTATGTTAACCTTCAAAGCTACACCAGCCACATGTCATCTTCATGGGTAGACGCAATGTTGTCCTTACCTCTAGCCGAATCAAGTATTCATGCAACCTAGTATCCTCGAATGTGCATTCAGTCCACATGCCCCTGGGCAGGTATATGCTCTCTGTTGTCATTTCAATATCCCTTCACCATAATTTGAGCTAAGTGACAATCCTGCATTTGCTCTGCAGTGGAGGTGTCTTCCCTCCTGCCTTTCTCCTATACCATCCTTGGCTGTCATGTTATGTCCCTGAAGGTGGCAGCATTCTACTAGTGAATAGATTTGTTAAACACTACTTAACTCTTTCCAAGATCAAAAATGTCACGTGCCCACATGAACAGAATCATGTTTGCTTTACTTTGAGCTGATTAACTCATTAGGCCCAGACTTTGGAGGGCTTAGCATGCCTGGCCATGGCCAGGCTTTCAAAGTACACTGAACTTGGCATTTCCCTTTGCTGCTTTTCAAGAAAGCTGAGGCTGCAGCGTGGTCAAACTGGTCTGGTTTTCATATTCAAATGGGAATGGAACTTTCCTGAAAACTGGTCTTAGGGCCTTCCTGTTTGCTATCACAACATAGAATCACAGAATTCCATTCCAGAATTCTAGCATTTCCTTATATTCTCGGTGTGCTGACTGGTTTGGTTCTAATGAAGTACTTTCAATAGAAGGAGGCATTTGGCACGGTCAGGGCTATGCAAGGAGCCTTCTGCTGTAGACTCTAGGACTAAATAGCATCTGACTTATAAAGCCTGCACTGCAGAAGGACCTTGTCCACTGTGGGCAAATGATTCTCTAGGGAGAAATGGCCTCATCGAGCTGAGAGAGAGGTTTGGTTTAAAGAATGCCCCATGTTGCCAGCATTAGTTTAAAGACAAATCTAAAATGGTGGAAAACCTGTAAGCCCTTAAAGCTCCAGCTATGTTGTCCTAAATGATTGCAGCTGGCTATGGAGCAGGTGTCCAAAAGAGCCTCATAATGTCATTCATGCCTCGTTCCTTCCCTGGAGGAGCAAATGCCACCCTTTCTAAACACGTATTGCTCAGTGCTGGGCACCGTGCACAGCCTGGCTGCCTCTTCACTCAATCCCCTTTCCCTATGCCCTGGTCTCAGAGCACTTCTGTTCCCCAAGAGGACAGTGCTGAGAGAGCCCATAGCCCAATGCAGCCAGCCCAGGGAGACTTGAGAACCGAGCTGTGCGACCCTGAGGCAACGATACCCTGTGGAAAAGGGAACTTGGGGAGTGCTAAAAAAAAAAAAAAAGTGAGTTTCGGCCCTGAATGGCTCCTGCTCCGAAGTGGACAGTCTCCTGCAAGCAAGGACCTGTTAAGAGCCTGAAGGGGTCCAAGTTTGGGAGCTCCTTGGAGAGGTGGAGAGAGGGAGCATCATATGTAGGAGCATTGTGTGGGGTTTTTCCTCTTTATTTTTTTTTCCCCTTTCTCTTCTTTCAAATGACCCATTTTGCCTCTCTCTCTTTCAAAAAACTCCCAGAAACTTCTGGAGTCCTCTCACGGGGTTGCATGTCATCGGGCCGGGATATTGCACTGGCTTTGCTCCTAGCAGCAGTCATAGCCACGTTAAAGAAAATAATAATAATCATTAAAAAAAGAAAGAAAAAAGCCTTCAGAAAGCTCCGGGCTCCCCCGGGGTAGCGGCCGCTCCGCCCGGGCCTGCGCGCTGCGCTGGGCGCGGCGG